TGTTGGAATTGGATGTGGACTGCATCATAAAATAGAAATTTTCCATATTGAAGTATTAAACTTGATTGTCTGCCATTCTATTCGTATTTTTCTTACAAAACTATTGATTTACACGATTGGAACTATTTTTGGAATCCTAAACTTTTCTGAGTATTAAAAATAAATCTTGGTGTAAAACTGCAACATCTTTATAATTGAGATTTCCAATCGCAGCTGATCTACTAGGCCTACCAAATGATGATGCATCTTTCTATTTATTACAAATCTCTTTTTTTTCAATCATCTTTCATCATGATAATTATACAGAAGGGAAGTTCTCAACTGCATTTGAAATGGTTTCAAATGACCTGTTTCAAACTTAGACATTCAAATTTCATATTCATATTATTTTCAATAATCTTATTTGATCTTGCAATTCACTTTCTTTTCAATATATTTTCAAGAACTCTTTAATAAAATCAATTTCATAGATCTTGTGTTTTAACACACTTCCTTTTTGCATAATTTCCTCTATGCTATTTCCTCTGTGTATTATCAATATTTGTGACAATTTAACTGATATAATGTGTGTCTAGTATTGGTATGTACTGGAATGGTGTTACAAGGATGGATGATGAACCAATGCGGTTCGTTCCTAACATGTAGGTAAATTGGTGACCTGGTTTTCAAACAGTGTGGGGCAAATAAGGTAGAAGTTGGGTAATAAATACTCAAAAACATCTTATCTCAACTTTTTATTGTAAAATGACAAAGAATAACTCTAAAACTTTTCAGAATCATAATATATGTTTGATATAGATATAATATGTATTTAAATATCATGATACAGATGTATTAACTAAATTAATCAATATACATCTCGATAATCAACTCATGCTTCTTCTATAAATGAACTTTTCTCCAACGGAACTGGCCGATCTTTTTTAAATATTCCTAATACTGATCTTGGCACCCATTTATTTCAAGGGACTCCCAATATGAAAATCAGAAGGGAAAATTTCAGCAAGGAAAAATGGGAAAAGAATGAAGTATTGTAATTTACATCCAAGTCAATCAGAAATATATATGGGTTTTTTTAACAAATACAAATTGTTGATAATTTTGGAAAATTACCAATGTATTTTATTATTGAATTGTTCAATCCCAAATTAACCCAACTTTTAATGAAACAAATCTTCAACGAGATACCTTCAAAAGTTGGTATTTAATCAAACATATAGCAATACACAATTTGAAAATAAGAGAGAAATCAAATCTCTGACAAAGATAGTACATCCACATCAGACTGATTTAGATGTAAATATTCTTGCAAACACGTGCACCTTTTAAGAAAGGCAAAATAGCTAATAAGACAAACTGTGTTTGTGCAAAAAATTCATCATATTTTAAATTCAATTTGTGCCCGTAAGTTTAAGCTAAAACCCTACAATTATTCCTAAAGTTACCTAGTATGTAATTTAAATATAGAGAGTACAATGTGAGGATAGATATAGATATATGTTTTCAATGATATAATTATGCCATTTGATAATACAACGTGTTAAATTGTCTATTATCAATGATTTGTTCAAGTTGATCCCACGGTCAGGCACAGAGGCCGATAGCGTTTTTAAAAGTTAGAATGCGTGTGCCAGTTCACACTCAAAATCATAAAACATTATGTGCTCAACCAGTTCTCCTGCGATGTTTTTGTGATATCTATTTACAGGCTGAAATTTATTACATGAGTACACATCTCACTCTTATAATTCATTACCATTGTTAGGTAAAATACTTAAGATAGGTACCCCATGGAAAAATCAAAAAGTGAAAAATATTTCTATATATTTCATGAAACCCATGTAAAAATTTCATTTAAAATTACACTCTTATCTGTCTAAAACAAGAAAATGAAAAATTTCGATATGTTTGCTTTCTACAAATACTTGAGTTTCCTATAAATTTGTTAATGTTCCTAAAATATTAGGATACGTAATAATTTTGTCAACCTCAACTGCAAAGCAGAAATAACTGAAGTTTATTAAATTAATTACTGAATCCCTTTCTAAAAATATATTTTTGAATATTTCTGTTCGGTGGTAGAGGATAGGAATTTCATTGTCTGAAAACAATGAAAAAATAGTACTCTAATGTTTAGCTTATGAAAAACCACTTAAATAATGTTGGAAATCTGAAATACCAACATTGATAATTTACATTGATAACAAATAAAAAATAAATTACGAAGTTGAAAACTTAAAAAACAAATGATTGGAATAACAAATTGAAGAAAAAAGTTCAAATTGTATTATTGTTTCACAATCTAATAATAAGATGTTTCAGCCTAATAGATTTCTGTTTTTCCAATATTACATTTTCCATTTTGAAAGAAATACAACTTCGAACATCTTATTTCATATTTGAATTTTCATCTTCCAACATTCTTTTTTAATTCAAATTTTTCTATTTTAATTGATATAATTTCAATTTTCATTGTGGGGAAAACATGAAAATATGATTATTTGCTTCTTTTCACTGAATTCCATTCTACTCAGAAACAGCATTATGCATTGAAATTAATTTAGTTTGATTTTCATTTTTCCGTTTCATGTTCAAAATTCATATCTTCGCACATTTGGACAATAAGTGCAAAAACTTTGGAGTTCCAAATCTCTACAAATAAATAATTCCACTCAAGAACTTTATAGATCAAGAGTATATTACTTTAGAAAATTTTATATTTAAATATAGCTTTTATTTTGGTTCCTTGAAGATTAGAAATATGCAGGCCATTTTTCAGAATCAGAAATCAGACCATTCTTTTTTAAAGGGGAAAGTTCCAAATAACAAATTTTCTGACATATTTGGGGTTATATTATACAGCAAATTGATTTTCCAATAGAAATTGCTTTTTCATTTGAGTTGCATTCATAAACTTTATGGAGTATGATGACCTCACTCATGATTGTTCGTAAGATCATCATTATCATTATTTATAAACATACTCCATATGAACTTATTATTCCAATACTTTCAGAAACATATTGCAACTAAATTCTTACAATTATGATATGTTGCACATAAAATTTAACAAAAATGTTGATGCTCACTGCAGTATGATATTTCTAAATGTATTCTTGTATAGTGCAGATGAATAAAAATACAATATCTGTGTATTAGAAACAAAAATGTATATCCATTCAGTTGCTAATCATAATTTCATAAAACTGTCACTCAACATCAGTCTTTTGTTGTTGTTCTATTTCTATTTTGTTGTGTTACTCTATTTTATCAGCAAGAGTAAGTGTGAAATCAATATTCAAAAGTTTTTCTTTCAGATTTCTTCAAATCACAAAGTTGTCTATCCTCAAGAATATATTTTTTGTACTTTCAGTTCAGAGCAACTCAACTCCTGATGTGATCGGAATTTCTCAAGATGAAATCTGATTCAGTACACCAAATGTCTTCCAAACAGTCCGTCATTCTAGAATATTCTAAATTTTTTTTGGGTCGAGTAATATTTGTTTCCAAACTAATTTTGGCTCTATTTTATTTTCCCATTACTATTACACGAATATTATCGATCACTTTGTCGCTATCAATCTATATTACATATTCAATTTTCATACAATCAATTACTATGATTGTCAGAAGCTAAAGTCTATGCTAACCGACGCCTAGGAGAACGAAAACTGGTCTTCTACCAAGACAATATTTTCCCCTAACTCATATTTACACTATATTTATATTACACTGGAATGGTGTTACAAGGATGGATGATGAACCAATGCGGTTCGTTCCTAACATGTAGGTAAATTGGTGACCTGGTTTTCAAACAGTGTGGGGCAAATAAGGTAGAAGTTATAATTTCAAGTAAGAATAAACCTGAGAAGCTAATGAAAAAAGAAAGAAGCAAAAGGGAACATTCGAAAATGAAATTCCAAATTTACGATAACTACACGAGCCAGCTTGTGCGTGTACTTAAAAAATTACGTAAGCTAAAAAAATATATTCTCCAACACATACACAAAGATTATGTAGATATTGACTTCAAATTTGGCAAAAAATGCTGCTGCAATCTGAAACAACGTGAAATCCATATTTGAATTTGATCATTCAGGAAACATCCCCATTGAATAAAATTTCTATTGAATTCCACACAACTTCAGCAATGCATTTACACAATTTCATTTTCCTATAGGAAAGGATAAATTCAGATCACGCGTTTGTATTCAGTATTTGCAAGTATGATCAATGATTGTCAAGTATATAGTTATATAGATTCAAGAGAAGTATATAAGTTTACATTGAAGAGAACAAACCTCAACTGCTCTATCAGTAGTGACTTCGATCTTACGACGAGCACTTGAAGCTTGTATCATGCACAATAAAGAGTCAATGGGAAGCAAATCGTCTTGCCCTCTTCTGATAACAATTACCACTTTGTCTGCTTTATTTCAGGTCAAACGACGATTTACACACAAAGACACTTGTGTTAGTCCTGCAGACAAGCAAGTCGAGTTATTAAAACAAAAGAAGATTCACTATATGAGATTTGAGCGAGGAACATGATTGCCTGCTAGAAAAAAATATGAATCGTTTTTTGGTGATACATGTTGAGAAAGATCTTCATATTTCTAGGGTAGAACTAGACCCTGTGGTATTCCTATTCTAGTCACTGGCTAAGAACTAAAGTTACTCCTAAAAATTCCGCGACATCACTAACAATACTAGCCATATATAATTTATATGTATATATAATACTACTGCGGGAGGAGTTCCAAGAACACCCCCCCCAAGTTTTACATGTTTTCTATACAACATGAGATAAACATTTCTATAAACTTACAAAAAATAACGCGTATCCATCTTGACATAACCTTAAATTTTTTCTAACAGTATTAAAGCTTTTCAATACTGAAAATCAAACGCAATACAAAGAATGTTAAATAAAAAGTAGAATGAAAAAAGAATTCTTAAACGAATGAGTAAAGAAGAATACAAAGACTAAAAAATTTTAAAATGGAATGAATACTGTTCTTTTGTTTTCGATTTATTCGACTCATTATATATTAGACTTCGAAAAGGAGACTCTCAGATGGTTTGACTCTGATAACTGGTAGTTGTGCATCTTTATTAGTGCTACTACTGCTTCGTCCATACTAGGCAGCTGGATTAGGGCCATTTTCTTGTCTTTTCTGAAAAGTGTAAAGAATACATGGCTTATATGCTTATGAATGAATTATATATATTTTTTTGATACACAACATACTGTGTTACATTTTTTAATAGGGTTTCTATAATAAACCCTAATGTATTTAGGAAAAAATATTTTTGAAATGGATAAATATATTAACACATTATTAGAAAAGAATACATAAACTACTACTAAGATTTTTATTCGTTATGACCGGTTTGGGTTTATTAAACCATTTTCAAGTTAACACACATGAGTCTACTTGAAAATAGTTTAACAAACCAAAACCTGTTGTAACGAATACAAATCAGGGTAGAAACTAGACAAATTTTATTTTCTTTATCCTATAAAAAATATGATTTGTGTCTCCAAATGTTTTAATATAAAGATGATGAAATTTCAATGAAGTGAAATTTATTTGAGTAATGCACTAGTCAAAGTAATCAATAATTTTAATGTATATGACATGAGTAGTATAATAGATATAAAACCTAATAATATTAAATAAATTATTCATTTAGCACACCTTCATAAACTTCAAATACACTTCAGTCTTTAGAGGTTATTTTAGCACTCCGGGATAGAGTTAAAGACTATACCTTTATGTAATCAAACCAACTTACGGAAAGAATTTGAACGCTTTCACTGTGAAACCATTTTTGGTGAAAGCTTCTTTGATATCCTCTTCGTTAACCGTGGCTGGAATGTTGCTCAAATGTAGCGTAGAAGATGGTGGGTAGATGTTTTGGTAATTCTTGGATCCTGGTTTCTTGAACCTATGCAAAGGACTCTGGCTATAATCTTTGGTAAGCCCGGCATCGGGTTGCCCCTCTTTGGGCATTTGTACAGACTGGTGCTTGCTCAACATTACCCGAATGTTTTTTCCAAAAACTTTCAATTTGTCCATATGGGTAATGGCTGAAATGAATTTTTTATCTAAATAAAAAAAAGTGAAAAATGTGATTTGAAAAAAAAATCGATAAATTCCGAGTTTGAGTGGGAGTTTACAAAACTACATAAAACGCAAATTTCCATAGAAAATCTCACCTAGATGTGCTTGATGAGGCTCAGCAAGTTGAACTAGAGCAGAATCCTTTTTGTTGTAGAGAATTTTCACACGTTGCACGTCGCCATAGACTCCTAAGAAAGAAATATCAGAAAATTACTCTACTTGAAAAGTTTCAGTAGGGATCATCAAAATGATTATAAAAAAGAGAAAACTTAGGTTCAATGAAACAGACTTATTAAAATAATAAATCAATTAAAACTTGAGGAACATAAAACATGCAAAACAATTAGATAGAAATTCATAGATTCTACGAAAACATAGAAACAGAGTAAATAACTTTTCAAAAATTAAAACAATGTCTAGACGAATCTAAGCGGTAAGCTCCAACAAACAAATCAAGACAGTTGGATCTAAAAAAATGAAAATGAGAAAAAAGTGGGAGATCCAATTCACTTGAAAATTGAAACATTAAACTCAATCTTCGATGATTACAAGCAAATTGGATTTGGATGAATAACTCTGTTGTTTTATCTTCGAATCGAGTTATTATAGCATAATTTTTTGAACATGGCCTTCTATAT